ACAATAAAAAGTACTCTGCATTGTCTGTGAATTAGACATTGTAAAATGCTTTCTTTATTGGGCAAAATAGCATAATGCTTCTGAACTATCAGCTTCGAATTTCATAAAACTCCATGATCCCAATGTGTATGAGATTAAATGGAATTGTATTCACAAAGGCTTTCACGACTGGGATCTAATGGTTGTTGTGGGTTTCCCAGGCTCTTTGGCCATGTTCTGAAGGTTGTTCTTCCTAACGTTTCACCCGTCTCTGTGGCTGGCATTCTCTGTGGCCGGCATCTCTGAAGATGCCGGCCACAGAGACTGGCAAAACGCTAGGAAGAACAACCTTCAGAACACGGCCAAAGAGCCGGTAGTAATTAATATATAGTGAGATAGCAATAGTTATCACTGCAATCTCAATATATATTAATTACTATGGTTGGGGAGGCAGCTTGAACTGAAATTGTTAGGGTGATGTGACACCCTTTCTCTGACCAAAGAGCCCAGAAAACCCAGAACAACCATTAAATGGAATTGATTCAATATGTACCTGTTGGGGTTGGAGGTAAGATTGATTTGACAACCCCATGATACAAAAACATCAAAGAAAACAGGGCAGTGAAAAGTGCAGAAAAACTATTGGTAAAGAGGGAAGAGAGATCCTGGATCCAACTCCATGAAAGAAGTCCAGCAGAATTCATGTTTTTAAAAAATGCGATAATAGAATATGAAACGCAGAAGAAAATTGAGTCACCATCTATAAAGTACAATGAAGTGTTTACAGTGGATTTTCTTCTGGCTTGAACAGTGGGCCAAATGCCTTTAATGCTGACCAATAAAGGTTTCTCTCTGTCTTATGCTGGCTGCAGGGTTCCTTCTGTTGATTAAGAGATCCTAGTGCTTCTGAGAACATAAGACGGCACTGATTGTATTCCTTACATTCTGATTGACATGGGGATAAAACATAGTCTCAGCTATACAGATATAAAATGAAATTTATTGCTTAAACTGATTGTTCCAAACACAAGTGGCATTTAAAGTGTTCCAATCTCTACTGTCAAAAGAAAGGCATGGAAAAAGCACGACCTCTTTCTATAACAAACCATTTCTAAAGTATTTTTAAAATTTGTTTGCTAATAAAATAGCCACAATGTATTTAGCTTTTTGTACACTTAACTGATGCTGAAAAGCACAATGGTCTAATGAATTATTCAAAGTCACATCAAATTGCCGTAATTCATAACTCATCATACTAACCCAAAATCTCTAACTACAAAATAAATTGCTATAAAAGAATTACTTCTGATCTCATTATAATTGAGATTCATAGCAGTCAAAATCCACTGTTTCAATGCTATGTTAATATAACTTTAAAGAGCTATTTTTTTCTCTTTCTGCCTTAGATGATATGGTGAAAAAAGGATAGGACATAAAAGACATTCAGAATAGATAATATTTAATGTTCATTTTGACTATGCACTAAAAGCTGAAATGAAATATTTAATAAATGTAGGTAATATTGACACCCTGTTGTTTTCCTTTTTTAAAAAATCAGTAGCTTGATCGCTGTTACCTGGAGTCACTGTATTGCAAGTAATAGTACATATGATCAAGATGTGCCAAAGAGAAGAAGAGAAAGAGAAGAAGAAAGAAAAACCTCCAGAAGATGACCAAACAGCCTGAAAAAACCCACAACAACCATCAGAATAAAAGAACCTTAACAATACCAGTCTAAAGACCAGGCAGGCTTCGCAAAAGCAGTCAGACGAATAATCTTGGCCTTCCCCCTTTCCTACAATGCAGCTATGTCTCAGATGCTTGTATCTGATAGAAAACTGTTCAAATGTTTGGCTCAGACTAGGTAGATTAATGATTATGCAATAAAGAACTAACCACAGCTTGGAAAGTTTATTGTTGTAGACTACAGCGCCCAAAATCCTTCCGCCAGCAGATGGACATACTTGATCAGTAACTGTGGCAGTTGTAGTCCAAAAGAAGTAATTTGCCCAGCTTCCAGAATTAACACATGCGTAAACACTGTTCTTGAGAAAGAAAATTACTATCATCTATCAGCCCCACCCAAATAAATTTCTTTTTGCTATGTTATGTCAAGCGCCGTCTGATTTACGGTGACCCTAATAGGATATTAGCAGTATGTAAGATATTTAAGGACCATTCTTACCAGTGCTGCCCTCAAGTGAGTTTCCATGGCCAAGTGGGGTTTTGAACATGGGTTGGTGCCACTGTTACTTTCATAGCTGGCCAAGCTGAAATGGAGAGACTTTACTAAATGGTACATTATGGAGAGTTGACTCAACTGTTTCCTGGTTACAATGTTTGCTTCAGCCAGAGATGGACCAGGAAGAATCTCCAGATTAGTGGTGGGACCTTACCACTTGTAGGGCAGCAAAATTCACTGTCCAATGCCACCTGAGGTGGGCATGCCCCTCTGCCTAATGGGACAGTCACCTTGGATGAGAACATGGGCTTTAATAATTGGCTGCACAAATAATTTTTTTTTCCATACCTGAGGTGGGCATGCCCCTCTGCCTAATAAGACAGTCACCTTGGATGAGCTTTAATAATTGGCTGTACAAATACATTTTTTTTTCCATTTTGGACTGTCTCATCATAGGGTTTTCATTCAGAAGGGGTTTACCATTGCTGCCCACTGCTCAGTACTAACAAAAGTTAGTTTGAGTGTCATCGCCCTTGCCTCCTCCACCAGTGTCATTTTCAGCTACCAATGCTGCCCAACACTTGTTAATCTTTTCTAGCCAGGAATCAATGCTTTTCTGTAGGTAACGATGCACTGCTTCTCTATGGCACATATACCTGCATTTTGTATTGATCTTGATTATGGCAGACAGCACGCAGTGGTCTTAGGTCATGCATGATGGACAGCCTGGTTGGGTCCTACTTTTTCCTTGAGCCAAAATGCCACCCTGAAAGGAATTAAGTAGACTTAATAACTGCACACTGTGCTTCTTTTATTTGCTACCCATCACTTTCTACTCCCTATGTTTTTTTACAGAAAAAGAAGGTACTAATTAATATATAGTGAGATAGCAATAGTTATCACTGCAATCTCAATATATATTAATTACTATGGTTGGGGAGGCAGCTTGAACTGAAATTGTTAGGGTGATGTGACACCCTTTCTCTGACCAAAAGTTGCCACTAAAAAGCAATTACTGTATTTTACAAGTTCCTCAGTCAAAAACTCCAGCCACAGTGATGGCTCAGTGTAAAGTTCCTCTCCATCCTTTATGACAGTTCCTTGGGAGTATGGGTCTCCCTGGCAAATAACTGTGCAAAGTGTGAGACAAATGGTTGGCATATCCTACCTAAACAGTACCATCAATCTTCTCGTCTAGTGTGGAGCCAGAAGCAAGTGCACTTATTTCAGATCCTTCAAAAACTGTTGAGGTGTTAAAACTGGAAACTACACAAACTATTTGTTAGAGTAATACTGTACTCTTGAAAGAAGATCACATCCTACAGACAAACTCAACTAAAAGAGTCTTGGGGGTCCTTAAAGAATAACAGGTTTTATTTAACAAGTTTTTTTCTGATCTGCAAGCCACCTTTTCAAATGCATCTGGCATTCAAAGCAGCCCACAAAATAACGTGGTTAATCTTTAAGGTTGTCCGGCTCTTAGTTTTGTGACAACAGACTACAGGCTGAATACAAGAGGCTATCCCTCTCGAAATCTCAGGCAAAAAAGAATAGGACCACAGAAGACACTGAGGGGCGCAGTTTTTGTTTTTCCATTGATCTCGATCTGAGGAGGAATGCCTTTAACGTCTGTCTGCCGTCACTTTACATATACACATTACAGCCTGGGACGCGGATGAACCGCTTAGCCTCCGGAGATCTTGCAGCAATTAATAAGACCAAATGGGCACCGGAGGACCTGAAAGTGAATGAGGATTCTTTAGCCTGGAAGTTTTAAGGACAAGGAGGGTAAAGTTAGCAAGATCTGCAGCCGAAGATATGGTAAAGTTAGCAAGATTTGCAGCCGAAGACATCGCGCTTGATTCTAGACACAACAAAGCCGTGGCTGCCGAGGGAGAGCAGCCGGAGGAGCGCGGCTCGTCAGCTGCCTCAGCGGAAACCCCAGGCGCTCACCGTGCGCAGCCGCTCACCCAGCAGCCGCAGCAGCGCCGCGCGCCTTAAGGAATGCCGCTGCCAGCCAAGACTCGGAGAAACCCGGGGCAGCTCGTGGATCGGGACAGGAGGGCATCTCGCCTCCACGTTTTGGCAGGACTCGCCGCTCTCCGCCCCGGCGACGAGCCGTCCTTGGCCAAAAACGCAGCAGCAAGAGCTGGAGACACACTCTAACCTCCAGATCCTGCCTACAACTTCCATTCCGAGCAGATTACGCAGCATCCCTGATATCTGAAGAAGTTAACACCAAATCTTTGATTTGAGTTGGCCATGGCTGCAACCCCACATCCACCCGTTTCTCACGACGCCCCCAGAGCGAAGTAAGCCGAGGGAGAATCAAACTTTCACCCGGAGTTCCGATGAGTTCAGTATTGTGGCGACGGTTTTACGGATCCTGAGCATCTCCAGAGGGTGACAGCTTATCCAAGCCGTGCCCAAGCCCAATGCGTTCACCTGGACCAGGTAACTGGACAGTTCTGGCACAAGAGAGGTAACCTGCGCCCCTCGGGACATTGTTAGACGCCAAGAAGCTGGTAGAGACAACTCCCATCATCCTGTTGTGTTTGGGGCTGCCCAACCACAACAGAATGATGGGAGTTGTCTCTACCAGCTTCCAAACAGGTTCTCTCCTCTCTTCTTGGTCCTTTGTGTGCTTCATCCCAAACCGGAGACTAGATGTTCAAAGGGAGGGAGGGAGGGAGAAAAATTGCGACCACTTGGCCAGGCGGCGATGCACCTGGTTCCTCACGCTAACACCTGGCCCTGCAAAGGCGATCTCATTCACTGGCAAGGAGCAACGGGGAAGAGGACGAAAGAAAAGGGGGAAAAAAACCCTTTGCCTCCTTACCTGAGTGTCTGGAAGAGGTGAAGAACCTGGAAGTGTGTCCAGATACTCTCTCCCTGGAAGAAGAGGAAGAAGAGGAGGCGGAGACCAGCCTCGCTTCTTGATCCACAGACCCCGAGGGGGAAAAGGCGCCGCCGTTGGTGTAGCGCCGGGCGATCACCCGTTGTGGCCCGACGGGATGAGGATGCGCCTGGTGGCGGCTGCTGCTGCTGCTCTCCGCGAGGGCTTTGAGCAGGAGCTCGAGCAGCGTCTTCTTGTCCCCGGCTGGGAACTGGGGCTCCCTGGCCCTGCTCGGAGCGCCGGCGCTGCTGCCCTCCACCCGGGTCGTCCCTCCCGAAGGGAAGAGGAGGAAGAAGAACAAGGCCGGCAGCGCGTGGAGGTGGAGGTGATGGTGGTGGCGACGGCATTTCTTGGGCCGTGGCATCTCTCGGCCTCCTGAGGGAAGAGAGAGAGAGAGAGACGGCGGCAGGCGCCCGGCGGTTAGCCTCCTGCCCCTGTGCGCCCTCAGCTATCCCCACATGCTGAGGCCGGCGGTCGCCCCGCAGCCTGGGGGCGAAGAGAGGAAGAAGACGACGACGCGCCAAGCCGGGTCGGAGCGTCCCTTAAAAGGTCGGCCTCGGCGGCCCCCGTCTCGGGATTGGTGGCAAAGGCACGTGCGGCTGCCGGCGCGCGGGAAACAAAAACCAAACAAAACCAGAAGCCGAGCTGCCTCGGGGTCGCTGCCTCACTGAGGGGTGGGGTT